CTAAACATGGCAATGACAACAGAAGCTCTGATTTTGGAGTTGCCCAAAGTGGCTCAACTGCAGGAGGGTCTAAAAATAAAGATGGTCATAGTGAGGTACCTTCAATTCAGGAGGATGTCACTGACGATAAAGCAACTTCAGATATTTCCATGTCATCGGGAAAAGGTTGGGTTAATGAGTCTGGTAAAAGGAACATCCAATACCCTGTCGTTCTTCTTAAAGACGAGGCACCTGGGTCTGATGTTGATCACACAGTGGTGTTGCCGAATCAGGTCATGACAGAGAATGGTTCTATAGTGGACGCTGATGATACACATATGACAAGGTATAGCTCGACCGTTATTTCACAAGCACGTCTAAAAGGTCAAGGTCATGTACAGAAGATGCATTCTGATATTGTGATTACTGTTACAAGTGATGGATAATTGCTTAAGGGTCATTAGCAGTTTGCACAGTGAGTGAGTGAGTATGGTTTTACGCCGCTTTTAGCAATCTTCCAGCAATATCACGGCGGGGGACACCAGAAAATGGGCTTCACACATTGTACCCATGTCGGGAATCGAACCCGGGTCTTCGGCGTGACGAGCGAACGCTTTTACCACAAGGCTACCCGACCGCCCCGCAGTTTGCACAGGGGAGTTGAACAAAATACCTCACTTTGATGAAAGAAAGATATACACACATGTAAAACATTACTTTTTATTGACTATTGTCGTGTATACATATTTCTGACACCCTGATGGCGGTCGGGTAGCCTAGTGGTTAAAGCGTTAGTTCATCACCCCGAAGAACCAGGTTCGATTTCCGACATGGGTACAATGTGTGAAGCCCATTTCTGGTGTCCCTGGCAGTGATATTGCGGGAATATTGCTAAAAGCGGCGTAAAACCAAACTCACTCACTCTGACTTCCTGGTGTGTATATAACTCAGTACAGAGTACAATACAAGAATTTCACTATGAGTCTGCAACCTCAATCTGTACAATCGAGCCATGCCTAGAAGTCACGCTAATCAACAAAAGGCCAGTGCATGGTTGGTCCTGTATTACGTACTAAATGATTAGGAAATTAATGTATATCCCCAGCAACCTCTGCTTCACAAAGTAGATCGGGTGTCAGGCGCGGTTGATCATATGTCCTCGTATCCCAGTCGAAGCCAATGGCGTCAACCACTGGATTGTCCAGCCCAGATTATTTTATTTACAGACCGTTGTCATATAGCTGAAATACTTGCTGAGTGTGATGTAAAACAAAAACACAAACAAAATAAAATAAAGTTATTCGGGACTAGCAAACAACACCATGAGTCCAGATCCGAGGCCAAGAGGTAACAAGCCATAAACATACAGCAGGGCTGGAACAGACAAATTTCCTGAACTTGGTGAGAACATGGCATTCAAAATGTTCCACAGGTGAGATGACAGCTGGTTTAAAACGTCAAAGAATGGAATGATTTCTCTGATTTGATATCTAACTACCTTTGGTAAATGCTCCATCTGGAGTATTGATGATTGCGGGAAAAGCTATACTTCCGTAAATGCCGAGTGTCATCGTCAGTGTGAGGCTATACACAAAACAAGCTTCATAGGCTTATTCGGGCTGAATTAAATGCCAGAGAATAACAGTCTCGAGTATGTGTCATTGGCCGTTAAAAGCAGCTAGTGGTGAACAGTATATCAATGGATCACTGAAAATCAGAGATGACACCATTTGGTCTCGTGATCACAAAGCATAAGCGTGTACTGCTCTTGTTTCTTTACAATGATTTTGTAAGAAAAGTAAGGTTTGTTTTCTTGATTAACTGAAGCAATATCCCTTGTTTCTTATTATTATTAGTTTGCACACATGCACATTCAAAGAACAAAAACATACAAAGACATATTTGTATAACTATTTAAAAACCCTTAGATGGATAATACTGTGCGATAGAAGCCAACATTACAACTTGTACAGGTGAATACTTTTAACAGTGTCATATGTATTTACTGACAGAATATGGTTCAATAAATTTGGTGCACACAAATATTGTGATTGTTAGCCCCATTTTAGAACGTACATTTCCACATTATGGAGTAGACGAGAAGACATTAAGCATTTTGTGATAACATTGACCATTCGATATAGTTTTGATAATTCCTATTATACATTCTGTGGAATAAAATATATTTTGCAACTAGCATCTATTGAATTATAATTCGCGGCTGTGGAGAGGAGGGTGACCTTGTGTTTAAAGCATTCGCTCGTCACATATATTGTTCGAGTTCCATTTCCAATATTGAATTTGTGAAACAGTATTCATGTCACCCCTACCGTGCCATTAAATTCAAAATGTCAACGCCAGAGAATTACAAATCTTGAATATCTCCCGAAACAGATGCTATTGAGCGTACAAGACAAAATAAGGTAAACAGTTATATGAATGGATCACTGAAAATCAGTGCTGACACCTGGGCCCACTTGCACAAAACGATCTTAGCGCTAAGACTATTGTAAGCCTATGTTAAAGTATGGGAGTTACAATCATCTTAGCACTAAGATCGCTTTGTGCAAGGGGGGCCAGGTGCTAGTGAAAAGGGTAAGCATGTTCTGCTCTACAGGTAGCAAAGTGGCTTTAATGATTATTCCTTAACTCTTTTGGTTTCGTATTCTGCATTGATGCCACACAGATAGCGGAACAAAATAGTATCATGTATCACACGGTATGTGAATGTCTTGTCTGAGCTCCCATCACGATGTAATTGTGTATTTTACGAGCGCTTCTATCGATATTATTTTGAAGCATTTGGTTGTAAAGGAGAAACGGAAAGTTACATTTACTAACATTTGAGTGTATAACCAGGCATTCTTCATGCTGTTAAACTACCATTACACCCCTAGGACATACGTGTAACAGCTCATTGTCATCACTAAACTTCCAAACTTACAGGACTATATTTAATTAAACTGTACTGAGATAATTATCAAATGTGGAAGTTTGAGTAAGAGGTTAATATGGAGTAAGAGATTTTTCAAATGATGCGGTACAGACTGCCTCCGTGGTCTAGTGGACAGAGTGTGTGTCCGGAGAGGGGGCGGTCGTGGGTTCGATCCCCGGCCGCGTAAATAATGGTACTTGTTGTTACCCTTACTGACGGTAAAACAAGGACTGTGGGGCTAAAACAAGGACACCTCAGCTCGGAGTCAGTATCACGCGTCTGAGTGTGGTATCCATGTTAACACTGCTTGTGGGCAAGCACTATGATCTCGCAATTAGTCTGTACTAGTACACACACACACACACACACACACACACACACACACACACACACACACACACACACACGCACGCACGCGCACACACACAGACACACACACACACACACAGAGACACACACACGCACACACACACACACAGAGTCGCTACTTTACGTGCAATTATCGTGAATGCAATGTTAAATCCAAATTCACCTCACCTCTCCTGAGCCGGTACAGCTGTGATAATACCCATGACTACAGAAACTGCCGGACAAAAGAAAGTATACACCCATATGTTTGATACTACCCATAACTACAGAAACTGCCGGGCAAAAGAAAGTATACACCCATATGTTTGATAATACCCATGACTACAGAAACTGCCGGCCAAAAGAAAGTATACACCCATATGTTTGATAATACCCATGACTACAGAAACTGCCGGACAAAAGAAAGTATACACCCATATGTTGGATAATACCCATGACTACAGAAACTGCCGGACAAAAGAAAGTATACACCCATATGTTTGATAATGCCCATGACTATAGAAACTGCCGGACAAAAGAAAGTATACACCCATATGTTTGATAATACCCATGACTACAGAAACTGCCGGACAAAAGAAAGTATACACCCATATGTTTGATAATACCCATGACTACAGTAACTGCCGGACAAAAGAAAGTATACACCCATATGTTTGATAATACCCATGACTACAGAAACTGCCGGCCAAAAGAAAGTATACACCCATATGTTTGATAATACCCATGACTACAGAAACTGCCGGCCAAAAGAAAGTATACACCCATATGTTTGATAATACCCATGACTACAGAAACTGCCGGACAAAAGAAAGTATACACCCATATGTTTGATAATACCCATGACTACAGAAACTGCCGGACAAAAGAAAGTATACACCCATATGTTTGATAATACCCATGACTACAGAAACTGCCGGACAAAAGAAAGTATACACCCATATGTTTGATAATACCCATGACTACAGAAACTGCCGGACAAAAGAAAGCATACCCCCATATGTTTGATAATACCCATGACTACAGAAACTGCCGGACAAAAGAAAGTATACCCCCATATGTTTGATAATACCCATGACTACAGAAACTGCCGGACAAAAGAAAGTATACCCCCATATGTTTGATAATACCCATGACTACAGAAACTGCCGGACAAAAGAAAGTATACACCCATATGTTTGATAATACCCATGACTACAGAAACTGCCGGCCAAAAGAAAGTATACACCCATATGTTTGATAATACCCATGACTACAGAAACTGCCGGCCAAAAGAAAGTTTACACCCATATGTTTGATAATACCCATGACTACAGGAACTGTCAGGCAAAAGAAAGTATACACCCATATGTTTGATAATACCCATAACTACAGAAACTGCCGGACAAAAGAAAGTATACACCCATATGTTAGATAATACCCATGACTACAGAAACTGTCAGGCAAAAGAAAGTATACACCCATATGTTTGATAGCGGCTAGAAATGAAATGAACAACAACATAGATACAATACCGTATATCGCTGTGTATAAGGCGAGTTTTTCGTACCTAAAATGAGGGGGTTAAGAAGGGGGGTCGTCTTATACACGGAGTCGAAGATCTCACATTTTTTTCCACTGGCGATGTCAACCAGCGTCCGATAGCCAGCCCAGCATTTGACAATAAAAATTCGCATTTCGTCCTAAATAACTGTTCCAATAACTATTTCCATACATAAACATGATTTGTATCTCTTTTCCTTGAATAAAGCTTAATAATTTCTGCAAATCGTACACTATCGCCATACAGAGCCGTGCAATCAAACAGAGGACATGAGTTCAGGTCGCAGACACCTCCCAATTAGGATCAGTGGTACGTCAGCACCCAGCAAACCTAATGTTAAAACGGTTTAAACTCACCTACCACCTTTTTACATAAGCACTCATTCAACAGAGAAAAAGACCAGAGCGTCCTTTGATTCAACATCAAGTGACAAGAAAGAAGAATTCGTTCAGTGTAACCGGAACATATGAATAAAAATAATTCTGGAGATCTGGTTTCTGTCATCCTTGAAACTCTTCAGATCTCCATGAGTGTCATCCATGAAGAAAATTCCTCGTCGTGTGTTTGATTTCGCCTTTGAACAGAACCACGTGACCATAGACAGCCATTGTTGATCAAAGGGTTTCTCTTTATTTTTGACCCATTTCTGAAGTGTAGAAATATCCTAATGTTTGTTTTCGAACAGGAAGTACATGTTT